GTGACTCAGTGGTAGAGTGCTTGCCTTGCATTCATAAGGCCCTGGGTTCGATTCCTCAGCACCACATAAGCAGAAAAGGCCAGAAGTGGTGCTGTGGCTCAAGTGATAAGAGTGTAGCCTTGAGATAAAGGGCTGAGGGACAGTGCCCAGGTGCCCAGGCCCAGAGTTCAGGCCCCACAACCGACCAAAAGAAAAAGAAAGAAGAGCAAATACAATATGGTTTCTTCCTGCACCATCCCTGATCTTTTACACATAAAGGTGGCCTTCCATAGAAGGCACTTGTGCATACTGGGTTTTTTTAATATGTCCTGATTTTTTTTCATGTCTTTGTAGAGATCATCTGCATTCATTTTTCTAGCTGTATAGCATTCAGTTGTCAGTGCACTTTAACCTGTTCTTAATGAGAATTTGGGCTAAGTCTCATAACAGTGTTTATTTACCCCTTATGTATCTTTACTTGGTATTTGGGAGTTCTGAAAGTGAAATCACCTCCCAGCACTATTTGGCGATGCTTTGCTGGTTTAGGCAGACATTTCAGATTAAATTTCTCTTGGAGCCACTGATTTTGATTGTGTACTGTGCACATGAACATACTCTGAGACAGCCACTTCCACCTCTTTGCTCCATTCCTACGGGCTAGTGTACTGCAAAGATGGGCCTAGCTGATTCATCTGCCACTGAGGAGATACATCTCCTGTGGCAAATGACAATGAAGTCTGTCTTGTCCCAGGAACACACCTTCTTCCAACTGTTTGGACCTTCTGAGACAGCATTCACTATTACTATTCACATTCACTATCAACTTCAAACCCAAAGAAATCCTACTCAGGGCACCAGGAAACCTTCCTGCCCAAAGTACTATCTCATACACACTGACATTAAATCCTCATATGTGGAATATTTGCCACGCAGCTATTTCCTTTTAGAGTCTCCTTTGTATGACTCTGGGCAGCTCTCAAGAGTTGTTTGTTCAGTGAAAACATTTTATTAATCGTTCCCAGAGTGTGGTAGGCAGGCCAGGAGCATCCCCAACACCTGGGAACTATTAGAAATGCCAGTCCTCAGACCTCATCCCATACCTACCGAATCAAAGTTAAGGCAAGTTCCAAGGGTCTGCCTGTTGTAGTGCTAGAGTTCAAACCAAGGCTTCACTCATGCCAAGTTTCTGTTCTACTACTGAACTGCAATCCCAGCCCTCAAGCTCTCTGGATGAATCTGATGCACACTAAATTTAAAACCCACTGCTTTACAACAGCAAATAGGAAAACAGTGTAGCCACCCTTTCAGAAATAATTTCACTCTTTTTTTTTCTTTTCTTTTTCTGCTGGTTGTGGGGCCTGAACTCTGGGCCTGGACACTGTCCCTCAGCTCTTCAGCTCAAGGCTAGCGTTCTACCATTTGAGTCACAGTGCCACTTCCAGTTTTTTCTGCTTATATGGTACTGCGACATTGAACCCAGCGCCTCATGGATGCAAGGCAAGTACTCTACCACTGAGCCACCTTCCCAGCCCAATAATTTTACTCTTAGAGTAAACTTAAAATATGTATAGCAGTGGTGCAAAGACTCAACTCTTAAAAACAGAATAGTTGTTAATCAACTGCTGAAAGTTCTTGTTCACGCTCATATTGCTTATAAACACCCTGACAACACTGAAACAGGAATTGTCCAGGGTACTGTTTTCTGTCTAATGTGTTTCAAAACTGTGTTTCTTTTTCAAGTTTGATTTTTTTATATACTATATATGTATTTTTAATTTTATTTTTTGTGGTTTGAAACAAAACTTCTCTCTATAGATAGCCCAGGGTAGCTTCAAACTTAAAAGATTCTCCTGCCTCAGCCTCCTAAGTAGTGGGATTTCAGGTATATACCTCCTCAACTAACTTTTCCTATCCTATGAATTTTAAAGGGAGAGAGACTACTAAATGCCAGAGAACTTCACATCAACTCATTCCTAAATTTATTACACAAATGACCCACAAACTCTTTTCTGTCTTCCACACATTCAAAATCTGTTCTCAAGCCTATGGCTCATGCGTGGAATCCTAGCTACTCAAAAAGGCTGGGATCATGAAGATAGCCATTCAAAGCCAGTCCAGGCAGAAAAGTTCATGACACTTTTTTAAAAAATTGTTATTATATAGGCAATATATAGAGGGGTTACAGTTACATAAGTCCATGAGACCCAATTAACCACCAAAAAACCAGAAGTAGAGCTGTGGCTCAAGTGGAAGATCACCAGTCTCGAGCAGAAAACTAAGGGACAGTGCCCAGGCCCTGAGTTCAAGCCCTAGTACTGGCAAAACCACCAAACCAGCAGCTGACTTAGTCTCTACTTACAGGAACAGCTTTTCTCCAGTGTGGATCAAGATGTGGCGATTCAGGTGGTAGTCTCTGATGAAGGCCTTGCCACAACCCTCATAGTCACAAACAAATGGCCTCTAGCAGAAAGAAAAGAAACCCGTTGAAATGTGGAAAAGCCGACCCTAACTAATAGGCAATGTCATAGACTCTGTCTCTGTCTCTGTCTCTGTCTGTCTGTCTCTCTCTCTCTCTCTCCAGTTTCCATTCCCAAAGGATGTTAAGTACCCGCTATATCCAGGCTACACCCAGACAGGACATTACAAGAAGTTATATAACATAAATGCCACAGCTTCTCACAAAGCACTGCAGCGATTTTGTGGCATGGATAATATAAAAAATAAGCAAGTAGCCTTCCCAGAAGCAGTGCAACCTTGCTAACCTGCTCCTACCTTAGACAGGATCACTACAGTATGAGCGTGCCTATCTGCACATGTGCACGTCACAGCATTAAAGAAAGCCTAGGACAGAAGAAGTGATCCTGTCTCAAAATGTATCACATTGTGGAAAAGTTCACAAGTGTCAGAGCAAAGCAAAGCAAACAGCTTACAACCCTAACTGCTTCCTTCTATTCAGACTCAAGTGGTTTGAGGGAGGTTCCATTCTGAATCTATAGGTAAAGCCAAAATACCCCCAAATAGCTAGTTAGGTATATCTATAACCACAGAAAACATTATGTCATCACATACAGAAAGTATCAAGACCTCCATAAGAGCACTAGGAGCAAAGCCAGTGGACATGAAGTCACCAAGGACTGCATCACAAGAGCCATAAAACTTTGCTCAGCACCACTCATGAAAGCAGGCTCAATATCTATCTGTCAGATTAACAGCTCTGTGAGCTGGGACAACAAAGAAGACTCTAAGTTTTCCAAGTCAATATCCAATATGCCAGTGTCAATATCCAAAATACAGTATTCAGTTCTGAAAGGGAAGATGACAGCTGGGCACAGATGGCTTACATCTGCAATGGTAGCTACTCAGTAGGCTGAGATTTGAGGATCATGATTCAAAGCCACACCGAGCAGAAAAATCCAAAACTTATCTCCAATTAACCAGCAAAAAGCAGGAGGTAGAGGTGTGGCTCGAGTGGTAGAATGCCAGCCGTGAGCTAAAAAAAAGCCAAGTATGTTTGCAAGGCCCCCAGCTCAAGGTCCAGTATCCCTCCCCAACATGTGTACAAAAGAAAGGTGAGTTCTAATTTGGACTGGTAACAAACCTTGTAATTTGGGCACAGAATGGGCAAGAGGCAGACCAAGGGATACAGCATATAAGATGTTAGGAGCTAAAGCAGTGACTGAGTGAGAATGTTGAAGAAGCAAATGGGAAGGGAGGGGAAATGCAGAGGGCAGAAGAGGAGTCAAGGAAAGAAGAGGAAGAGCAAAAAGCAAGAGAAGAGGGTCTAATGAAGAGGTGGGTAGTCGTCATTCAACTATTAGGAAGGGTGAGGATGGGAACTCAACATACATAAGGGAAGTGTTCCATAAGTTAGGATATATGCAAAAGGCAAAGGCCTGGATGCAGGTTCAGGCTTAAGAAATTAAGAGCCTGCCTTGGCTGAAGCAGAACCAACATGGACCGTGAAGAGGACTGGAAAATGGGGCAGATTCCTGGGCCAATTTGAGTCTTATTTTCCTCACCTTCAACAAACTGCGGCAACATATCACCTTATCTACATTCCCAAGACCCCCACTGCTTTCAGAACAAAATTCAAATTCAAATCCGGGACCACAAATATCCCACTGGTCTTTCGGACCTCATCTCGTCCCATCCCTCACTAATCATACCAACCCGCCTCCCACCTCCAGGTCCCCAGGCTCCCCGCACGTTCCAGCTGCTAAAAATCAGACGTTCGCAGGGCTAGATTCCTTCCCACTGGGCTCACACATTCCCACCTAGTCCCCGGCCGGCCGGCCCCGCTAAAAACAAAAACAGGTCCAAGGCGTTTCGTTCACAACTCCCTAGATGGTACTGAGTTATACGAAAATGAATGCCCAAGTTCCGCCATCTCCAGGGCCAGCTGCAGAAGGCGGATGCTTAGGATGAGTTCCTGGCGGTGACGGATTTTCAGATAATCGGAAGGTGTCTGGTCAGACTAAAGACTTAAAAACCGGGGCGCGGGGGAGGAAGGGTTGCTTGGGAAGCCTGGAGCCCTTGCAAAAGATTGCAGTCCCCAAACGACAGTCATGCCAACTTCGTTATCTAGGATGCCAAGGCCGAGCACGTCGGGCAAGGCCAGGCCGCCACGCCCGACCGCACGCAGCGGCGGGGCTTCCCGGGCTCCCAGGGCCCAGGCCCGGCCTTCGCCCCGCCCCCCTCCCCGGCGCCACGCCCCCTCCCCGGCGCCACGCCCCCTCCCGGCCTCCGTACCTCCCCGGTGTGCTTGCACAGGTGCGCGTCTAACTTCCAGGCCTTGTTGTAGTTGGCGCTGCAGTCCGGGAAGGAGCAGATGAATCTTCTAGAGAACGCGGGAGGCGGAGGCGGGGGCGGGGCGGGGCTCTCGACCACAGGAACGAACGCCTCGGCGATGGTCAGGGACGACACCGCCGCGGCCACCGACGCCGGTGGCTCCAGGGCGCCTGGGATTCCCCCTACCCTGCTGGGCGCGCGCGGACGACCCATGTGCCGCACCCTCCGTGGGACTCGGCGCACTTCCGGGAAGGCGGGCCCCGCCCCTACGCCGCGGCCCGCGCATGCTCAGAGATGGTGCTGGGCCGCGCTTGCGCCGGGAGGCTGGGTGGCAGCCTGAGCCAGTCTCGCCTGTGGCAGAGGATTCAAATTGTGATAAGGTTTGGGAAACTCTTGCTGTTGAAGGTGATGTGTGGTTCATCTGCATCATTAGACATAGGAATCACAACCCTCCTTGGATCAGCTCTCCAGGTGATTCGGTGCATATTACATCTGGGTAGGCACTAATGAGAAACTTAAAGGAGCATGGATAATGTGTGTTTGAGGATTGCAGGTTAAAAGGACAGCTTGGACGACAGTGATGTGATCGAGTGAGCTATTTTTTCACAAGTTACCAGTTCTCTGCACATAAGTACAGTTTAGAAACAAACCAGGACTTAATCCTGAAGTGGAATTCTCACTTCATGCTGACTCCTTAGCTTCAATCTCCTCATCTTGAAAATGATCATATGGTCTGAGAGATCTCATAAGAACGAGGCTGAGAGAGGGTGTCTTGTGCTGTGAGTCTGTTCCTTTCCTTATTTACTGGTCCAGCTTCTGCACCAACTTTTTCGGCTCCACTTGTTAATGAATAGGTAAAGTTTGTTAAATAGGTAGATTGGCCAAGTCCCTTGGGGAAAAAAAAGCCCCAAACGCTCACAATAGAAAAGCACAACCTAACAGACACAATTGAATATGTGCTTTAAAAAAAAAAAATCCCAGTCGGGCACCGGTGGCTCATCATGCTTGTAATCCTAGCTACTCAGAAGGCTGAGATCTGAGGATTGCAGTTTAAAGTCAGACCGGGCAGAAAAGTTTGTGAGACTCTTATCTCCAATTAATGACAGAAAACTGGAAGTGGCACTGTGGCTTAAGTGGTAGAGTGCTCCCCTTGAGCTGAAGAGGTTATCAAGTCCTAGTGCATTTTACATCTAGCTTCCACATATAAGAGACATGTGCCATTTGTCTCTCTGAGCTTGGCTTATCTCACTTATTTGTTCTAGGTCCATCCATTTCCCTGTAAATGACATAATATTCTTTCTAACAGATGAGTAAAATTCCATTGTGCATATGTACCACATTTTCTTGATCCAACTCATTTGCTATAGGGCATCTGGGCCATTTCCATAACTTGGCTATTGTGACTAATGCAGCAATGAACTTGGGTGTGTAAGTATCACACCATAATACTTGTAATACTCTAGATAGATGACCAAGAGTGCTATAGCTGGTTCATAGAATAGTTCTATATTTAGGGTTTTGTTGTTGCCGTTGTTTTGGTTTTGGTTTTTTTGGTCGATCATGGGGCTTGAACTTGGGGCTTAGGTGCTGCCCTTGAGCTCTTTTTACTCATGGCTAGTATTCTACCACTTCGAGCACTTTGGGTTTTCTGGTGGTTAATTGGAGATAAAAGTCTCACAGACTTTCCTACCCAGGCAGGCTTTGAACTAACATCCTCAGATCTCAGCCTCCAGAGTAGCTAAGAGTACAGGTGTGAGCCACCAGTGCCTTGCCTATGATTAGTTTTTGAGGAACCCCTAAACCACTTTCCAAAGTGGTTATACTAATTTACACTTCCACCAACAGTATAATAGGGTTCTTTTTTTCCCTTCACATCCCTGCCAGCATTTATTATTGTTTGAATTCTCAATGCTGCTCAATTTTACTGGGGTGAGATGGAATCTCAATATTACTTTAATCTATATTTCCTATATGGCTAGGGATGTTAAGAATTTCCTTATGTGTTTATTGACCATTCTTACTTCTTTTTCTGAGACGTCTCTAGCTCCTTTGCCCATTTATTGATTAGGTTATTTGGGGAGGGGGGAGGGGGAGAGACCCTTCTGGATTTTTTTTTTTTTTGATGTTTAATTGGAACTAAGCATCACCTGGACTTCCCTGCCTGGGCTGTCTTTGAACTGCAGTCCTCAGCTTTCAGCCTCCTGAGTAGTTAGAATTACAGGTATGAATTGCACTCATTTTTTTGTGTCCATATAGACATGTTAAAATCTCTCTCTAAGATTTTCAGGTTTTGGGTTTTTTTTGCTGGTCTTAGGGCTTGAACTCAAGCCTTGTACTATTCCTAAGCTTTTTTTTTTTCTTTTGGGTCCGGTCGTGGGGCCTGAACTCTGGGCCTGGGTGCTGTCCCCCAGCTCTTCAGCTCAAGGTTAGCACTCTACCATTTGAGCCACAGCACCACTTCCGGCTTTTTTCTTTTTGCTTATGTGGTGCTGAGGAATCGAACCCAGGGCCTCAGGCATGCAAGGCAAGCACTCTACCACTGAGCCACCTTCCCAGCCCTATTCCTAAGCTTTTTTGCTAAGGCTGGCACTCTACCAGTTGAACCACAGCTCCACTTCTGGCTTTTAGGTGTTCAATTGGAGATAAGAGTCTCATGGAATTTCCTGCACCGGCTGGCTTTGAACCCCAAACCCTCAGATCTCAGCTAAGATTATAGGCATGAGCCACCAGTGCCCAGCTATCTCTAAGCTTTTATACAAACAAAAACTAACAAAACTCTTTAATTCCTTGTGATCCCCCGTTTATTGTCTGAATACATCCCCTCAAAGCCATGTTACCTGAAAAAATTAGTCTGTGCCTTTTCATACTTTTGTCTTTGTCATAGAGGGTTTTAGTACATACCAAAATAGAACTGGGAGAAAAGGAACTCCTTTGGATGTTCCATTTAGCTGCAACAGCCATCTTTAAAAAAAAAATTTTTTTTTGAGATCATCTATCTAACTGCTTCCATTCCCACATATCCTTAAACACAGAGTATCCAAAGCAGTACTATTCCTCCACAGTTTTCTGGGCTCCATGAGTGATTCGCCATCTGCCCAGCTGACTGACATGGCTTCCTTCCTCTCACCATTGCATTTACTAAGTTCTCTATCACAGTCACTGTAGCTTTCCCATTGTCAGTCACACCCAAGGAAGACCGTGATCTCATAGTCCTTGGTGGCCACATATTCCATCGGAAAAAGATGTGTTCAGGCGGGCACTGGTGTCTCATGCCTATTATCCTAGCTAATCAGGAGGCTGAGATCTGAGGATTAAGGTTCAAAGCCAGCCTGGGCAGGAAAGTCTGTGAGATTCTTATCTACAATAAACTCCTCAGAAATAGCTAGAAATGGCTCTGTGGCTCAAGTGCTAAAGCACTAGCCTTGAGCAAAAGAAGCTCAGGGACAGCACCAGCCCCAGGACAGGCAAAAAAAAAAAAAAAAGGTGTTCAGGGAGATCAAATTCACATATCCCCATCCATGTGAAAAAGAAGTGTACCTTTTCAGGGCCTATTCTTACCCCAAACTACTCCCAATGTCCCTAGTTCTCCCATTCATTATTCCATCAAACCTTATACCTTTTAATATCATCTGAAATCTATGATTTTATAACAAGTATCTTTATTGAAAACAAGGTTAACTTCCCCTCTCATTATCTCCCACACCCAATAAATTAAAGAATTTTGCTTTAGAAAGAAGTTGACTTAAATAGAAAATCAATCTCTTCCAGTTTTAGCGTTCTGCGGATGATAGGAAATATGGATATTTTGTGTGTGTAGGTGTGTGTGCTGGTACTAGGGCTTGAACTCAGGGCTTGGGCTCTGTCCCTTAGCTTTTATCACTCAGAGCTAGTGCTCTACCACTTGGACCATACCTACACCTCCAGCTTTTTGGTGGTTAACTGGAGATAAGAGTCTCCTGAACTTGCCTGATTGGTCTGGTTTTGAACCATAACCCTCAGATCTCAGCCTCCTGAAATTAATCCTCAGATAGGATTAGATTATAAGCATGTGTCACTAGCACCTGGCAGCAAGACCTTTTTAAAGGTAGAGCTGGAGATAAGTACCATTCTTCTAGCTCTAACATTCTATGACTCTATATTTTTAAAAATGAAGAAGGAAAGATAGAGAGGAATGAAGGAAAAGAAAAGGAAGGAATGAATGAAGAAAGGGAGGAAGGAAGGAAAAGAAAGAAAAAAGGAACGAAAGAATGAAGAAAGGAAGGAAGGAAAGAAGGAAGGAATGGTAATGTTTTGCACTAGAGTTTGATGGGACAAATGATGGTTCTAAAGAACAAGAGGGCATTTAGTAGCACTGGAAAGGAGAGTCCTGAAGTAGGAACAGACACTACAAGCCATTATCATCAGGCTGGTCTTGAGAGGGTGACCATGGAACTAGAAAGAAGGAAGCAGGTAGAAGACATTTGAGAGCTCTGGTAAAATGGCATTCAGTCTTTTTGTTGTTGTTGGTGGTGGTCGTGGGGCTTGACCTCTGGACCTGCACGCTGTCCCTGAGCTCTTCAGCTCAAGGCAAGTGCTCTACCACTTTCCAGATTTTTGCTAGCTAATTGGAAATAAGAGTCTCACAGACTTTCCTGTCCGGGCTGGCTTTGAACTGCAATCCTCAGATATCAGCCTCCTGAGGATTACTGGCATGAGCCACATGGACTTTGGAATTGGGCAGACCTGACTGGATCCTTGCTCAATAGTTCACTGTTTGACCTTGAGTCAGTTATCTCATGTCTGAAGTTCATGTTTTCTGTACAATGGAGATAGCAATGTCCATGTCACATGGCTGTTGTAAGAATTACAGAAGATAATGTGAGGTTCCTAATGCAGGACGAAGCACATAGTAATTAATTTTTAAAAACCTATTTTAAAAAATTAGATTAGAGAAGGATAGACTTCCATCTCACTAGGTTAAGTCTCCTTTTGCCTTTCTTGAAATTTCTCCTTGGCTTCCACACTTTAATGAAACACATTACTGGATTGGAGACATCTACAATGCAAAGTGTTGAGATGTGCTTCTGGCCAATGGCCAACTAGGAACTGAGGTACTCAGTCAGCAGCCCTGGAGGAACTGTATCCAACCCACAACCACGTGAGCTCTGAACAGATATTGCCCCACTCAGATCTTCAGATGAGACACTAACTCTAACTCAATTTTTCATTGAGGCTTGGAAAAACTGG